GAAGCCAGCTTGTCCCCATCCCCTCCCTGGCTTCTCTGGCTGCCCTCTGACTCACGCTCCCTGCCATCTTTGATCTTTGCTGTGCTTTCACAGCTCACCAGCCCTCTTCATCTTTCCCTCCTGCTCTTGTAAAATGCAGTGGCCTCCTTTGCTGAGTCAATTAACCTGGCCTGGTCCTCAGGCACAGTGTCCAAGGATGGGTGGGAGAGCTGCTCCCAACCCATAGTTGGATCCTCTGAAGAGGAAGGGTTGTTTTGACCCACACTAATGCACTGACTGGGCTGTGCTGGTGAGCAGGATGAAGGGCTCTGAGCTCCAGTTTGTGTCTTCAAGCTTGGAGGAGTAGAATCTGCACTTGAGCATCACCTGTTCCCATCCAGAATTTCCTGTATGACATTGGCATCACTCTTTGGGATGTCCAAAGGGACATCTGGGACATTACACATGCTGCATGGAGTGTCTGTGCAATGAAACTGCACACTTGCAGGCACCCAAAAAATGTTATGGTTTTCCTGCTTTACTTCAGTTGTCACCCTAGGATGGTATGTCCTTGTCCTAGTCCCATAATGATGCCTTGCATGGCTGGGATGTGAAAGAAGAGAGAGAATGAGACTGGGAGTCAGCAGAGAAATGTTTTGGGTGACTAGAGAGGAGGAAGAAGTGTGTTTCCTCTCTGGGAATCTTGAGGGGGTATGACACCAATGTTAGTGAGACCCAAGTTTGAGGTATCGCCTCCGTGCTTGGAAGACTTTTGCCTTGGAGAGGAAGAAGCTCAGGAGATCAAGGAGCTGTGAAGCTGTTTTTGTGTTTGTCCTTCCTCTGGGTGGTCTGACCTCTTGTCAATCCCTGAGTATGCTTGAACCTCAGCAAAACTAGGAGGGTGTCCCAGATCCCATAGCTGGGGTCAGTCTTTCACCCTTCCATGCTTTGCAAGAGATGGATTTTTAATTCTCTCCATGAGTTTCTTTCTGAGGTTTCTAGGGGAGGAAGCATTTGAATTCTCCTCCTGGGAAGCTCCTGACCAGACAAGAGGCTCAGGGGATGCTGTAGTGTGGGAAGATATTTAATTGATGAGACAGCTAATTGAATGTACAGGGAAGAGAGAGGCCACAGCCAACTTTTCAGGATCCCCAGTTCCCAATGTGGTGCTTTCAACTCTGGATGCCTCATGCAGGCTCAGCTCTGGGCACACTCCTTGGCATCTACAAAGCCAGTAAAGTGGTGTGAGCTGCTCACTGAGTGGACACTGGACACCCCGAGTGTTTCTCTCTGATGGATGCTCTCTTTAGGCCAATGTAGCCCAGTTACAAACTCATGGTGCTGTTTTTGGCTGCTGCCACCCTGACCTCCCACCTTGGTGCTCTGCAGCACCTGGCACTTCAGTTCCCTGTATGAATTGTCAGGAATTTGGGGATTTGGCCACTTGGTTCTCATGCTGGGTTTTGTTTTGCATGCAGGCCTGCAGTGATGCTTGGTAGTTTATTGCCTTGTCCTGTTCAAAAAGCAACAGTTCAAGGCAGCTGTGTCTTCCAGAGAATAATAACGCAGTGTCACAGGGGAATTCCACACTGCAATGTAAATGTTATTGCATACATCAGTTAACCTGGATTTCTGCTTTGTTAGACCCCACGTTCATTGGGAAACTTGTCAGGTGGCTGCAAGTGGCCAAGTAGTTAAGGTAAGGTTAGCAAAAATCCCCTTCAGCTGGGATTGCTTGGTCAGTACTGCAGAGTTCAATGCTGTTTCACCAGCTTTGAACCAGCCTTGCAGTGTCAGAGAGATGCAAGGTGCCTATTACAGAAAGCCCAGGATGTGCTGCTCATATTTCATGCTCTCACCCTCCCCAGCCCACACGCTCCAGATCTGTAATTAATGGTTTGTTGGAGGGACAGATTCTCCAAGGTATTCAGGTATGTGGAGGTCATATAGTGCTGAGACATTCAAAACCATGCAGAGTGCTAAATCTGTGTTTTCAAAAGCTGAGTAGATGCCTGTTGCCTCTCTAGATGTCTAAGATGCCTTCCTGAATCTAGGCTAAGATGTGGAATCTGAAGTTCCTGGAACCAGAAGGTCTGGTTACTATTACTTGGCATAGTGGCAGCCTAGTAGGGTAAGAGAGACTCTCTGGAATACTAGCTGGGCAATGAGGAGAACAGAGTTGCTACCTTACTGCTACCTTATTGGTACCTTACTGCTGTGATGTTGCCTGTCGCCAGACTTGTGTGTGTGTGTGTCCTAAGCTTCATGATGCTGATCTTCAAAATTCCCCTGTGGTTAGGAGGGGTCTGCTTGCCAGAGAAGGAAGAGAGATATCTTTGTGTATTCCTGTTTCCACAAAGGAAATTTCTTGCAGAACGGATTTGAAATCACTTGAAAGTTCCTGACAGTACTCCAACTACAAGTTATACAACTTTCTTTCCTCTGCTTTTACTGATACGTTGTTGGTTTTGTTGTAGTTTTTTGCATCCTAATATTAGACTCTATTTGCTGGGAAGCAGTTATTTTATGTTTGTAAACCATCTGAGAATTGTAATACAGAAGTCTTTGGACTCAGTCTTGAACATCTACAAGGCTCCAGCCTCTTTTGTGAACATAAAGTGTGTTGAGGCAGATTTCTGGGTCACTCTGCTCTGCACTGGTCTGTCAATGTCTGTGGTTAATGTCCTGTGGAAGGGAAGACCCTGTGAGCATCATTTATTGAGCTGCCTCTTACAACATTACCCTGCTGTTTCTCTGCAGGCCTGAAGGATGACAAGGATCTGAAGTTCCTCCTGAAAGGCAGCCAGCTGCTAAAAGTGAAGTCAAGCTCTTGGAGAAAGGAGCGTTTTTATAAGCTCCAGGAAGACTGCAAAACCATATGGCAGGAATCAAAGAAGATGCTGAGGTCTCCAGAGTCACAGATCTGTAAGTTTGCTTCATCACAGGCATGGGGCACTGTGAGCAGAAGAGCTTGGGGTGAACAAGGACCATTGTGCTTGTGGTGTAGAGGTAGGGCTTGGATCAGTGAGACCACAGGAGGTATGAAGGATCTGAGTGATGCTTCCACCTCCAGGGACAGCTGGGAGGAATCTGTCATGTCAGGAATGGCCACATTTCCCAAGCTCATGAGCTACTGCTTAAAATCTTTGTGGATTGGCTGTTTCCTCCCCAAAGCAGGAGTTCAGGTTATTCAGGTGCCCTAATGCTTGGTGTGAGACACGGTGTGAGCATCTGCACTGGGGCTGCTGGTCTGGGTGCTGCCAGGACACTGCAGTCCCTGGGAAAGCTGGCATTTAAGCCCCACAAGGGAACCTCAGAGATTTGGAGATCCAAGAGCTGACAAAGAGATGTCTCTGGGGAGGAAAGCCTGTTCTCATCCTTATCTTGGAAACTCGGGATCTGCCCCATTGTGAAAAGTCCAAAAATAGGAAAGTGACCATTATATGGACACAGGGAAAAATGATTCTGTGCCAGCATCACCCAGCTCAGGGCCATAAATTGGGACCAGAAGCTCAGCTGTGCAGTAAAAATGAGCTTATGCAGGGTGTGTATCTGTTTATATTTGTTTATATGTTTTTTCTTCTCATTTGTTATTTTACTGGCATATTTCTCCACACTAGTCACAGTCTCCTAAAGGCAGGAGGTACATTAATAATGTGGAATATATTTTCTGTCACATTGAAACATAGAACATGCTGCCTGTGTTATTTACACAACTTTTTAGGTAACAATCTCAATTAACTAAATGAAGGGTGGGTCTTCCAAATTACCCCCCTCCCACAAGCAATGATAAGATCTTCAGTTGGAGGAGTAAGGCAGCAGGGCAAAATACATTTGGTTTATAACCCTGGTGGCCACACTTTTCTTGGGCACCTCATTTAAGCCTTTTGTGTGTCCTCCCCCCATGTTTCCTATCTAGCTAGAAGGGGCTGTGGGTTAGAGGTTGTCCCTTGCTGTGTGTTCACATGCCCAGTGTGGCAGGGTCCTCATCTCAGCTGGGCTGTTGGGGCACCAGTGCAATAACCCATGTTTGCTCCCTGGGAACACCTGCTCTGTCCTGCATAAAAGCAAAGTCCTTTCCCTTGCTATAAAAAAATATTAAGGACATGAATTGAGAAGAGTGACTTTCAGAGCTTGCTTTCCTGTGCCCTGAGCCAGCAGTTTCCAAGTTATGGAGGCTGAGAGCACCTCCAGCAACATTTCTGACCCCACCTTGTCCTCTGAAGTAAATGGGAGGGCGTCCTTGTGCTGTGGCTCCAGGGACCTTGACACCTCCTTGGAGGAGCTCTGGTTGAACCTATTGCCTCCATCCCTGGGGTGGAGGCATGGAGAGTTGGTGCATCTGTAACTATTTTATATGCTGAGCTGCAATAAAAGCCCTGCAGGGAGATCAGGTCCTTTGAGCTGGGTGTCAGGCACAGGCTGGGAGTGTGTCTGCGTGGGTGTGGATTTACTGCACTCAAGATACACTTTGCCAAGTGGCCACAACCAGTGTTGCCACAGAGCCAGTGCCACTGCAGGAGGCAGAACTTGCAGTGCCATGGGAGTGTCCTCAGTGCAAAGTGAAGATGGACTAACCTTGCCTACTGACTTACACCCACATGAGCTCCGTAACACCTCTGTGCATGCACACCTGGCTCCTGGGAAGGTGAGAAGCTGTGCTGGCAGTTGTGGCACAAGCTTTTGGGAGGGTTGGAAAACCACCTCGAAGCTGCTTTCAACAGGTGCTGTTGAAACACCTGAACCTGGAGGTCAACAAGAGAGATGAGTACTGGGCTGATGCCTGCCCAGTCCCGAGCCATAACCCCAAGGAAACCTGTTTTCCCATGACTTTCTCTATTGTTGAGACCTTCAGTTCCCAAGTTTTCACAGTGATTGCTGGGTTTGAGTTTCTTTCTAGTGCTTTTAGCTTCACCAGGCTGCTTTGGGTGGAGGTGTAGAGAGGATCACCCCTGGTTAGTGGTGTGTGTCCCCTCTCAGGCTCTGCCACTTCGGCTACCTTCTCATTTGGTCTGGTGTGTGGAGGCAGCCAAAGCAGAGGAAGAGTGCAGAGCCATGATTTGATACCCCAAAGGAGGGATTTCAAGGCGGGTGTCTCCAGAGGGCCACCCTTCCTTGTTAACAGACAGTGACTTTGCCCACCAGTACAAAGCCTTTCTAAAACTGCAGATAAGTGGCCTTTTTTTTAGGAAGGAAGAAGAATGAGCAGGATGGAAACTGGGAGGTTTTTGCAGCAGGTCCAATCTTATCTGCAGCAGTGCTGAGAGCAAGCAGATGGAGGCACCTCAGAGGAGCAGAGCCTGGGTAGGGTAAGGGTTATGGTTTTGTTTGGACAGTTTCCTGTTATTCCTGTTACTGTTCATATGATCATACAGAAAAACTATTTGTAAACCATTGTGTGGTGGTGTCTAGTAGATAAAGCTGGGGACTGCCAAGGTTTAGGCAGAAGAATCTCAGATGCTTGAAGTTAAAAAGACCCCCAACATATCAGGGTTGTCACAGGCACAGAGGTTGCCTGGATCTGATACAGGGAGTACAACCAGTGCCTTCCTTTGTTGTCTTTATTTTAAACAACTGGAAATTTAGATTGGATGTTGTGTTGAAAGCTCTATTACCCACGGGGCTTGTTGGGATATAGGCTGCCATTTCAATATTGTTTCTAAGCAGGTAACAATTTTTTCCTTATTATCCATAATCCATTATTTTTCAGTATGTTCTATTTAGGCCCAAGGAAACAGGGTTTTTTTCCAAAATCTCTTGAAGCATCTTAAGTGGTCAGTTTTCCAACCAACATATTATATCCTGTGTGTACTCTCTTGTCAGCTTCCCCAGAAACACAGGAGTGCTGGACATGAAAGGCTGCACAAAAGCACCTTTAAAAAATTCTGTTTTCATTATTTCCTGCTACATCCTGTGTCTGAGCTGCATTCCTGGCCCATAAACACACTGCTGTTCTCTGTTGTCTTAGAAGTGGATGCTTCTTTGGCCCACCAGCCTTTTACACATGGCAGAGCTTTCTCCCTAGGATGAGAAAACAAGGTTCGAGTGGCAGGATTAACACTTTTGGGGCAAATAAAAGGTTTGTGCCAGGAGGCTGGTAAATAACCAATTCAATCAGAGCCAGTTCAATCAGAGCCAGTTTACTCCTGAGCATCACTACAGTGGGAGGGGAGCCAGAGAGGCTTGTGTTCAAAGAGCAGCAACCTGTCCATAACTCTGTCTTGTTTAGTTGTGGTCAAATACTAGTTCTCATCTATGTGAAAAAAAACCAACAAAACACAACAAAAAAAGAGCAAAAAGGCTTGTGCTGCTTTCAGTGAAATTGATTTTTGAAAATCTTTTCTTAACCCAACTGAAATCCCTAGTGTGAGCTCACTTAAGCCAGGCTCAATCCCTTTAAAAACTGCCTGAACATGGGGATTTGTAGGGATGGGTGAAAACTTTCCAGTGGAACATCCTTTTGAGCGTTTGGTGAAGAAACAGAATAGCCAGAGCCAGAAGGAAAAAAGTGAGTTGCTCAGATGTAGGGGTGCTGCAGTGGAGCCCTGGAGAAGCTGGTGCTTTGCTGCCTCCTGCCTTCTTCCTCTGCTGGAGGGAGGCCCAGGGAGATGACGTTTCCTGTGACAGCCATGAGTGAGCTCCACACACAGCACCAAGGGTGACTCACTGGGGTTGCAGTGTTGAGTCACGAGCAGTGAAGGCAAGAAAGACATTTAGGAGTTTTGGCTCAAATGTTTCTACTTCTGGCCAAAAGCATCACTTTAAAACTATTATTGTTGTGGGTTTTTTTGGGATCAATTAATGGAGATGAGCTAAATTCAGTTGCACAATGAATGTTGCAAGTGTTGATTGTATTACTTAAAGTAATGAAGCTGATATTTTGATCTAATGATAAATTACCCTCATTATTTAAAAGGCACAGAATTTGTTGCAGTTCCTCTGACTTCTGATACAATTATAGGATATTTTTTGCATAGTTTAAACATAGTACAAAAGCTTTATGTTTATAGCCTACTACCAGCGTTCAGCAGAAAACGTTTTCCTTCATTTTTGAGTTCTTGTGAAATTTAGGAATGCCCTTAAAATGCCATGTGAGGAACATACCATACTATTTTTGAGGAAGAATGAACAATTGTCTCCATTGAATTAATGTCCTGAACTTGCCTGTGGAAGAACAGAAAGGAAATGGTACTTGCTTTGTGCTCGCTCAAGTCAAGACCCGAAAACTTTAAATTGGTCCTGATAAGTGCCTGAAGTCAACAGAAACTCTCAGCAACCTGTGTGCACACAGCAGGCAGTTGTCTGCACTGACAGCTTCCTTCTGGAGCTGGTTAGGCAGTTTCTTTAGGAATCATTATTTCATGGTCAGACATGTATTTGTCCCTGGAAAAATATTTGCTGATGTGAATGTGTTATGCAAGGCAGCCATCAGCTGTGAAAACAAAACCCTCTGTCTGTGGGTCTCATTAGTTTTTATCAGAATCACTCAACCCATAAACCAACTCATTTCAAGTGCAGAGCTGCCTGTTTATTCAATTTCATTTTGAATCAGGCCACTGCATACGTTGCTGGGACAGTTTTCACTGCAAGCAGCACGCTGACAAATATTGACCTTATTCTCCCTAGCAGATGTTAAATGCAAAGGCAGAACTGTTGAGAGCCTGAAATCCAAACTGAGCAGCACTGTAATGGCAGGAGAAGTAGGAACCTGTTGCAGAAATAGTTTGCAGGGCCCTGATTGTGATGTGTGGAAGGAATGTAAATAGAGATTACTCTGTTTACATCAACGCCCCAAGCTGTGATGGGTAGACAGAAAGCCTGGGTGAAGATCTTATATTAAAAGGTAATTCCAAACAACCTGTAAAATGTCAGCTGGTGACACACACCAGCAGTCAGGGCAGACTGCTGTGCAGCAGATCTCCAGT